GGGTAGGAAAAATGGAAGAAGTGCTCTGGGTAGGGATTTGTAATTTCCTACCGTTTTGAGTATCGCTGACTGAAGTCACGTTGCTGAGCATTTCGTAAATCGACGTTCTTCTCATCATGACCGTGCCGCCGTACACGTAGATTTTATGACAATAATGTTTTAGCTCGGTACACCTGCTTAGCTGTTCACTTCGCCACTTCATTTCTGTTGGAACGCCGTCATCTTGAAAAGCTTCGATCAAAAATGATTTTAAATCTGGTTTGGGGTCACTTCTCGATTTCAACAACGATTTGATTGTACTAAAGTGAATTTTGAAGCAGTGCTCGGAGCTAACATACTTCAGGTCGAGGGAGGCCATGGACGTTGCTAGAAGCTAGACTGGTTGCTCATGGCATTAGCCAGTAAAGAACATACCGAGAGTAAATGGCAGAGCACAGATACCTCTCTCCTTTTGCCTCATTGTGCCTTCTACACATGATGTGGGAGCGTCTTGAAATTCCTGTCTGTTCATTGTACAGCGTGAAGCATCCAGAATTTGGGTACTTTCGTTGGATGCTCTACTCAGTCAGAATTGGCAAACTGCAAAACACTGCACTAGTGTGTGCTTCACGTATGACTGCAGGCAGACAGTGCCACACGCAAGCAATGATTAATTTATCGAGTTAGTGAATGATGCAAGCCAATGCTGAACCGCTCTTATCGCCAGGTTTCACTTTTCATCCTTGCCAGAAACACTCACCGTTTGTTACAGCTGCGACGACATGTTTAATTGTCCGAACTCGTGCAGACCTAACCACTTGTCCGGGTGTTTGGTAGTCAATCTTTTCTGAGCACTGGCCGCATTCTGAGCACTCAATTACGCCTTTCCTTCTCAGGTTATTGGCAGTGATAAATGCAGCTTTGCTCTCAGAAGTTGTTGTGGGAACATTCAAATTCTCTTCGGCTAGCGATTACAAAAGCATGTATAATCGCTGGGAGGAAAAAATACTTTCTGAAATCAGCGTTACACCAAGAATTTTATAGCTCTATTCTGGGATACATTGTCTTTCTTCTGATCCGGATCTTATTTAAGATCTGTTCAAGGACCTTGCCAAATTGTAGAAGATTCCATCGAAGAACTCATTCAATGCAACCAAAGCAGCATTTGCCCTTACGCTGGGATACAGGAAGGCTTACACGTAGTATTCTCCATAACTCCCTTCCTTGTGACCTGGCATTTGGTTTTGAGGAATTATTTCTTATTTCTCTGCCAAACAGGTTTTGTAAGGTGGAATATTTATTCAGGCAGCATTACGACAGAGTCGTCGTTCTCAAAGGCCTGAAAGCGTTCCGAAACACTGTACCTATAGTAACATTATACATTACCTGTGCGTAGTTATTCACTGGAGTCCTTTAATACTGACTCTTTAGTTCGTTTAGTTGTCTTGATCCCTCCATTTTTCCTTGCTCTTCATACTTTTCTCGTAGCTTCGTCGTAACGATGGCATAGTGAGTCACTTGACCCTAGATCTCAAGGTGCTGCGTTATATCGAAGCTCTGCCGATCGTGCGAGCAGGAGAGGCTTAGAGCTGCAACGGTTCAAATACTGTAATAAAGGTACATCTAGGTATATGTTCATGCTCTTTAGAGCTCGACAAGAGGCAGTAGATCAAACAAAAATACAAAAGGTTCGGCAATAGCATAGGAGTTGAAGTCTTGGCTTGGACAACTGAGCTCAGCTGGAGTTAGCGAAGCGCTGTATTCAGTATGAGAGAACAACAAGAGTGAGCCTTTTATAGGCCAGAGCCGGAATATTAGAAAAAAAATTGAGCAGAAACACTACAATTTGCTTCTAACTTTCTTCTATTGAACACGACACGGGGTTGGTAGAGAAGCTCTATCGGAGGGGTCGCCTTTGTCGGAGCCTGCAAAAGCCTGATCAGTTTATCACAACCCGACCGAACGTCGCCGCGACCTTAAGGTGGACCTTACCTTTTGGTCGGGTTGTCATAAACTGGTTAGGCTTTTGCAGGCTCTGACGAAGGCGACCCCGCCGAAACGTTAGCCGATAAAGCTTCTTTACCAACCTCGTGTCGTGTTCAATAGAAGAAAGTTAGAAACATACATGCCGAGGTTTATTCAGAGCCGTACATGGCAACTACACTTTGCAATCGCTAGTCAAGTCTATGTGATCGTCTCATGAGAGAAGTATCGGCCATACATAATCTCGCAGTTTTTTACATGTTTTCTACTGTCAGCTGTTGGCTTTCTGAAGGGTACAGCAAATCTTACAAGTGTTGACATGTATTGTCTTGTTAAGTGCCTGGAAGCTTCGGCAGACATTACCGGTTTTGACATGTTTTTTTTTCGTTATCGCCAACTGTCCACTCTTCGGGAAACCTTCAGGTTATTAGAATATTTCCGTGAAAATATTTCCAAAAATATGTTGCGACGACCTTCTGTCTCATCAGGCCTGTTACGAGCTTAGGATACACCGCACACGAATTTTAGCAGTGGGCTCCTATTACCACAAATGGTGTTAGGCATTCCAAGTTCATTCGCCTTGCACAAAATTCTTTCCTTGAAGATTGCTGGGATCAGAGATTTTTCCATGTCAATGCTTTCGTATTGGGACTTCGCACCGTGCGCGTGATAGGAGACCCTACTAGTCGTGACATCCTTTCCACAAGTTTCTAGTATTTGCATACGCAAATATAAACAGTCCATTCGAGTCAAGCTTCTTATATTTTTGTTCTCAAAAAAAAAGTTTTAGAGAGTCTTCAACAACTTCTGAATTTGTGTCACTCTGTGAACGATTCAAGCGATTGTCTCCGTCTCCGATGGAATACTCCATTGTACGAGCTTTGACGATTGCAACCCCAGGTAAGAATTGCTTGAGGAGGTTGTCACAAATACTTGCTTTTTTGTTGAATATTTTGTGCGTTTGCCCTTCCCTTGGTTGCGATGGAAAAAGGAGTGTCATTGCAAACGGCCTAAACAGGGGGGCGCAAATACAGATTCAGAAGCAATTCTTATCTGGCAGGCAAATCATAGTTTGAATCCAGACCGCGACCAACAGTTCACAACAAATAAGTAAAATACCCAGCGGTTACATTCGAATCACTCCCATCAACTCGACGCCAAACCCCTACATCGTCAGGGGAGACATCCATTATGCAGGTAGCTGACTTCAAGGTCGTCTTGGATTTTCAAGAGCGAAAGAGGATACGAATTTCTGAGCGGAGTTTCCAGCTTCAGACTCCAATACTTTGGTTGCGTCGTGTGGGATCGACTTAATTTGGCGATTCTATTCTTGGACCTGGCGAATTTCGATGGATGCGAATGTGCAAACTCAATTCCTTGGAACCAGAGACTTGGGTTGGAAAACAAGTCGTAGGACTTTTTTCCAAGCGTGAAAATCCAATTGATACAAGTACTATTCTGAAGACCACTAGTAGTAGTAGTATATCGCTTCGCATTTTTTCCGCTCTTCAACACACTGCAATGATGCAAAAATTTACTCAGTTTCAAATCACGTTTATGTCGTACAAATTAAGAATAACAAGAAGATCGAGAACGAGCTCAATTCTTTTTTCATTCTGACACCACTGATTTTCTGCCGGATGGAATTAAAATCATAGATAATGACGAAGAAAATATCCCCATCAGTTCTGTGTTTTTATCTTTCGTTTAACACATTGCAGCCTGCGTGTATCGCCGGGTATGCACGTTGAAACTCCCACATCTCGTATTTGTACATCGCCTGGCATGCACATCAATTTTTAGCCTGCTTCTATATTTTTTCGTTACTTTTGTGACTGTAGAAGTTTCACTGGTGTCTTAAATCCATTAAAGAGATGGCTGCTCACAATATAATTTCATTAAACTTTTGGAACTCCAACTTGCACAGCTTATGCCTTAGTTTTAACCCTAATTAGCTAAAAGAAAACAAAGTAACCAAAAAACCCAAGTTAACAACACCAACTTAATGATGGAAGGTCATGAAACAGAGAACAGTTAACCCTAAAGTCTCCACTCTCTACGCTGATATTTCCCACGAAGTCCTCCAGGAACCTAGTTCCTGTTGTGTAGGTAGGTGTAGCCGAATAGATCCAAGCCTCTCAGTAAGAACCGCTCGAGTGATCAGTGCTCCGATTTTATGTATAACAGTAGATT